CAATGTGTACCCCATTTGAGTAAAAAGCGACGGGCTGGAAAAGGGTCAACCAGCGGCAGTCCTCAGTAGCAGCACCAACGGCAAAAGCTCTGTCCGTAGGGCTGGATCGCGGTGATGGTTGGTTGGTAGCAGCATTCTTGAACGTCATCTCAATAGCAACAACACCCGCGGCACTTTCACACGACCGACCAGAGTGGTACTGTGTACCGTACCGGACGACAGGGTAGACGCCATAAATGGGACCTTGATGACCCGGCAATTTCCTCCGGGCCAAAATAGGTATAAGTATCTTCTGGTGGTAGGCAGGGTAGAGGGATGAGGGAATGGCGAGAACTGAAGACTGAGCTACTGGTGCTGGACCGGCGGCGGGTAGAGTTCATTGACGCAGGAGCGATATCAGGAAGCGGGTAGTTGAAATTGAAAGTGAATTCGGTGCGCTCGACAGTTTATGGAAGTTGATAATGTGGGATGGGTTGAATTCGGAATTTGATTGGTTTTCCTTAAATCGACTACGTGTCCTTACGACTGGAAGCGATTTTATGTGACTATGTGGTTACTATTGTTACTGAGATCCAGAAAAATAAAACGCCGAGCTGCTCGGTGGTGCCCATATCGTTAAAAAATATAAGTGTGCATATTTTTTCCTGGCACTAGAAGCATTTCTGAATTCAATGCTGGCCACAGATCCAAGATCTGTCGAGAAACAACCGAGATCTGTCAATTTCCTTAAAATCGTTTCCGGTAAAGTAAATTACTGGTTACTTAATCTTTTGAATCAGGTCAATATGGCTATCAATCTTCATGATTTTTCAGCGTGATTACTCCAGAGTCGTTTTCAGCGGCACAAATTGCGATGACCATCCTTGAGTCTCTTGGGTTCCCCGAGGGAAACTGGCAAATTTGGGACATGACCGCAACCATATCACTATGGGTATCAAACTTCAAGACTTTGCGGCGGTTACCCTGGAGCAAGTTATGCTCCGAGAGAAGTGAACGGGAGTTGATCACTTTAAGGTTTAAGCTGTATTCAAACCTTAGCGGAGGCATGAGCGGAGCGGAGCTATTGATAGACAAATAAACTTAAGAATTTCATATGGCTCGACTTACGAACGACACATATGAGGTAGCTCTTATACGCCTTTAGCAATTTCTTTATACCAAGCGTTGAAAGACGAGTGGTCAACACACGCCCCGTAATATCTACGTCCATCGTTCGGTTCCAGTCTGCAAATCCCGCTCTGTTTAATTTAACTTTATTCATCCAGCTCAGATTTGCTCTAACGATTCATCATCACTGGGAAGGGAAAGATCCACGCAGAGCTAAAAAAAACTAGTGGCCCGTACGGCGATCCTATGCACGGATTGAACTCACGAAAAAAATCGGCGTTTGAGCGATGCCGTGTTTACTAAAAATGAACTGATGGCGTAATGCTCGCGTTACTTTAGAAAAGAGACTATCAACTTTTACAAACAACTTGTTAGGCCCTTTTTACGCGAATCGAAGAACGCCCACGCAAACCAAGAGTACTATCGGGAGGGGGAGAATTTACCCTAACGATGGTGCTGTTGGTTTGCGTGGGCGTTCTTCGGTTTGCGCGAAAAGGGCTTAACAAGTTGTTTATAATAGTTGCTAGGTTCTTTTTCTAATGTAACGCGAGCACTACGCGATGTGTTCATTTTTAGTAAACACGGCACCGCTCAAACGTCAAATTTGTTCGTGAGTTCATTCCGTGCATTGGTCAATTCGCAGTTTTACCTACACGGTAAAAAAAAGTCTTGTTCATGTAAAGTGATTTGCTGTTGAATTTGCACTACTTGCCAAACATTGCAATTCGATGCTCGATTCATTGTGCAAATCCCTTGAAAGAGATCATTTCGAAGCACGATGAAATCAACAGCAAACAGCTAAACTCGAAATGTCAACCATGACAATATATCATCAAAGTTTAAATAATTTATCCTTGGATTTCATTTTTGCTGAAAATGGGGTTAAATAAATATATAGCCTTGTTCATACAACAAGCCTTGTTGTATGTTATTCAGAATGTGACCATATCATATCACTACCCAGATCACATGTTTCCAAGTTACATTGAACAACATCGCAAGGCTTTTAGTAGAAGCAAGGCGAGACATTGAGCAATAAATTTGATAAGTTTGACACTGTTTTGTAATCGAAATTATCTCAATAATACACTATTATTGACTACAGCAACAATTTCGTATTACTCACGCTCTAAAACGCAAATTATTTCGGGTGGAGATGGAGAATTATCGCTTCTCTCGCTGAACTTCATGTGTTGTTGACTTGCCATCTTCGCGAGTAATGTTTGTCATGTGCGTTTTGACATTTGCTTTCAAAAGCGCAACTAATCAATTTCAATTGATGAAAACAGTCGTGCCGATTCAAAAGATAATAGTACATATTTTTCAACGACAAATCACTTTGCTTCAAAACGCAAGTAACTTGAAAATCAATGATAAATCACTTCAATTTGTAGTGCCGCATAACACACTGAGTCAAGTGCAAAAGCATTTGGATTAGATGTGATAACTATTTACCGTGTAGGTTCGCCACTAAAGAACCTGTATTTATAAAGAGGCGACATTTTATCGATTTGACAGGTCTTCTGCTCGACTGGAATGACTTTTATTATGACTTTGACAGACAATCGATTGTTCCAATGTTGACATGTCGTCTATTTATAAATTCAGGCCATGAATACCTAGAAATAATCAAGAGAAGTCATTTTTTACAAAAGCTGTTATGCCCTAATTCCAGCTCTATCTAGAGTTATCAGATCAACGTTTTGTGATGGTGAACTGGGTCATTTAAAAATAGCGTTTATTCACTCGTTCATTCTGGTGAGCTAGGTCTTAAGCTCAGTTCAAGAATGAATTATCCGGCTCTAGCCAGCGGATGGATGGCCAGCGTAAAAAAATATCTAATAAACAGGTAATTTACAAGAACTCTAACGTCATGATAAAATTATGACCTGCTGTTCACCAACAACAATTTAGCCACGTAATATGATATGTGCACTTAATTAACCACTTTGTCAAGCAGTTTTGGCGTGACTTTCTACCAGCGATTTTTTTTTTATGAAACGCACAAATGTTGGCTACTTTTCTCGTAGTTCTAGAAGAAAATAAATCTCAAAATAATGTTTTATTTCGAAGTTCGAGTGGTAGTAAATGTCATTTTTACTGCTCGAATGAAGTGGTTATTTACCCAAGTAACTAACAAGCTCGCTAATTCGCCTTTTTGCAATATAATGCTAATATGCGGCGAATATAAAGCTTGGCATGCCCTATGTTAGCCTGTATCAGCCTTATAATGTAAAAAGGCGAATTAGCGGGCTTGTTGGTTATTTGGTTAATGCGGTCCATTTAAGGGGACGTTCACCGCTCCAAAACAAATAATTATGTTTTGATTTTTCAAAAAATATTGAAAAAAGGTATCGAAAATCTAAACATTTTTTTTAAGTCATTTTGGCGTAAAGTTGGACTCAAAAAACCACAAAACATCGACTTTTCGGTTTTGCTGAGGGTCCATTTTTTTTCATGATGAGATAGAAAAAGAATTTTTGCATGTAATTTTTGACAAAAATCTAAGGAAGAACCTGATTTTCTTGGATTTTTGATAATTTTTCCCAATATTTTTAGAAAAATAAAAACGTACCGAAAATATTTTTTTTATTTTCGGGCCGGTAAACGATACGTTGTACAGAACCTAATGAGTGGAGTTAAGCGTAATGTGCGAGTGTACGGTTATGGTATTGAAGTTGAATGAAATAAATATGCCAAAAGCTTACAAATGGGTTATTTCTTGTTGCCTGAAAATTTGAAAAGGATCGGTCAACTAGGTAATTTTCTACAGCGTTTTTTTCCGTGATGCAATTTGCTGTGGGACACCCTTTATTGTTCACTTGACGGTTGGAAGAACAAATTTAATTGAAAAAAAAATCAGTATCTCTGAAACACCTCCACTTGAAATCGTAGGTACACTTCTTTCATTTAATGTTGATTTCATAATCATTTTGGCTAGATCTTGGATTTTCGAATTTTTTCAATATTTAAAAAAAAATATGTTACTATTCTTTTGCGATTCTTTTACTTATTTAAAAAAAATCTAAAATCCAATATGGAAATGGGAGATTACATTCAGTATTTTATTAATAGTTCTAAATGAAAAGTAGCGTCATTTTAAGAAACCAATTGAATGCAAAATGTGATACTTTTTTAAAAATGTTTGCGTATTAAAACAAACTTTTAGTCTACGGCTATGGCAGTTTGATCTATATAGAAAGAGAGGGTGCTTACAAAAAAAAAACCCTTATCTATAGAAACCACCAGAGTTCATTGCTCTCGTTCTCCAATATGCCTATAATCCACACTTCTCTATCGATCTCTTCAAATGGAAAATAATAAATTTGAAAAATGACAGCAAATCGAACAGAAAAAGACTTCCTTCTATGGACCTCATCAAATACCGAACACCATCGGCAATGACAATCGAACCAATAGTTCCCGTGGCACGCACCAATCGTCACCACCCCAGCCAACGGCAGAAACACGAACGGAGCAAGACTTGTGGTGAAACTGCAGCAGTTGCACATTTTCTCACTCTCACTCTTCCTAAGCCACTTTTTCCCAAGGCTTTGTACTATCCAAGTCATGACGCGCATCATCGCTACGCGGAGATCTCCAGCACGTTCCTTCGTACTGTCTGTCGGCCGGTTGGTCGATCGATCGATCGATCGGTCGTGGTCTATAAGAACTCCCGGGTCGGTTGTGGAAAATATCACGAAAAGTCAAGGTGCTGCTGCTGCTGTTGAGTGCAGCAGCCTTACAACAGAAATCGAAAGTCACGGACACGGACACGGACCCATATTGTGACGTGATGGGTTGAATCGGACCGGCTGATCTTCCGGAAGGTTGAACCGATCAAGTGGAAGCGTGGAAAATGTGTGCGCGGCGACGTCAATTGTTGCACGTACCTGGTATCGAAATTCCTGACGTTAAGTGTTTCTCCGGTAGATCATGGATCGACCTCGGGGCCACTATGTCATGGGGATGGGCTGGCACTGGAATGAAAGAGATATCGATATTAGTAGATTAGCTCGAGCTGATTGAACTGTATGGTGTTGTGAAAGACCTTTCAAAAGATTACTGGCAAAAAAAAACAAAGAAATATGATTATGTCTCAATATAAACTCTCCCAATCGGAAACTGAAGCGACAACATCGGTGTCCCATTGACGCTTTTGAAACACCTAAGCACATCTAAATGGCGTGCATCTTCGTCATTTTAGCCCGAAGCCACACGCGACAGACACTTCTCGAGTGTACCTCTAATCTTGTTGGCGGCATCTTCCGGAGCGCGAGAAAGAAGACACGCTCAAAAGTGTTACCGAATGAATCGTAAATCAACTCTGCCGGGAGTGCGCGATCGAGGCCCTATTAATTGGTCTAATCAGATCACAATAAAAAAAGAAATGAACTGAGGCAAGGATTACGCATTGAGCTCTTTGTGTCCCTGCCCTGGCGGTGTCCGGTCGTCCGTTGTTCGAGTCGTGACGATGAAGAAAGTCTGTTTCAACTTGTTCGGCAGACAACTGTCGATCGGCCAATAAAAGGGCTTTAGAGTGAGAGAAAATTGACCATAAAGAGGCTACACTTTTTTTTTATGTGGAGTGAATCGAAGAGGTTTTTTTTAAGTTAAACGGTAATTTGATGGGTAAAGTTATGGCGTACTTTGTCGGGGATGTGTGCTGTCATCTGGAGAAGTAGATGGAAATGGAGTTATGTAACCAAAAAGCTTTACCGTGACGATAACTGTTAACGGTAAGGTTTTACCCGGATGTAATTTTGAATTTCGAAGGGGCCAGATTGGATGTTTGTATTATTTTTAGAGGTTAAGTCAAGTGTTACATCATTTTTATTTTATTTAAGTACTGAAGATTAGCGGCGCCGGTGGTGTAGTGGTAAGTGTTCAATCCCAGTCGGTGCCGCCGGGATGTTCTGAAGCATAACATCTCTGATCACGTCTTCCTTCGGAAGGGAAGTAAAGCCGTTGGTTCCCGGTTCATGAGTTGATGGGTCGATAGGTAGGGTCCAGGCGTGGGATCTGCCTCCCTTGCGTCGGTAGCATTGGTGCTCAGCACGGAAAACAAGATCGACGGAAAACAAATTAAGGGAAAAAAAAAGAACTGACGATTTCACTAACAATAATCAAAAGTATACTATGACAACAAATTTAAACTAAAATGTGTTTATTTAAAATTTACCAATTTGGATTTTTTTTTAATAAATTTTCGATATATAATAATATATTTTCTGAAATAAGATAAGATATTTGCAACTATAGGTTTATAAATGCCGTAGCCAGAGGACACAGAAAGTGGCGAATACCGAATTCAGTTACACATAATAATCAATTATCTTGAAAATCTATTTATTGAGCTCCGAAACCGAAGCAGATTATCCCTAGAAGTCCCAGAATTTGGATGTCGAAGATTCCAATAGGCTTTCAGAGCCTCGGATAGGCATTTTAAATTTTTCTGAGTTACAGAATCGCATTTCTTTCGAAAACCAGCAGCGCAAAGGTTTTGAATCAGTCATAAGCCCCAATTTTGAACACAGATAGGGTATTAGAATCCTTGATCTGGAATAAATCGAGATCCAGGAACAGCATTTGTTTGAGATGTAAATGTTCAGAATTCTAAGGTATAAGAAAATTTTCAAAGTCATGAGTCTGTAATGTAGTTTCTGTAACATGAATCATTTCCATATATATAAAAGAAAAAAACAACTACGCAAATAAATAGAAATTGATTGACTGATTGATATCCCTTATTTAGAAGATAAATTAAACTGAGAAATTGTTATTAAATTAATAAAGTTAAATATTCAGGAAGTCAGCATGTCAGATTTCATACGATGTCTAAGAAAATTACGTTTTGAATTTTCAAAAATATAGCAAAAAATTATCGAAATCATTTCCGTGAAAAATATTTTTTTCTTTGTCATCAGCTCAAAATTGGACTCAAAAATTGACCTTTCGGTTTTGTTTAGAGCCAAATTTTTTTCACGATGAATAAGTAAAATATTCTTGCATGTAATTTTTTTCAGAAATCTAAGATTTTTTTTGGCTTTAAGCTTTCCTTTAATGACATTGGTTAATTGTAAAGGCTCTTGTGGAAATCGATAAAAAAAAATTGGATTTTGGTACTGATAACATGTTCAAGATAATTTAGAATATAATTCCTTAGGAATTTTGGTGTTGTGGTGAAACCAGTGCTGCAAAATCTCGAAAATACACGGCGATATTCAAAATTCTGTTTGGACATTCATTTCAGCTAATCGTCAAGGCATACCATGTCAATTGTCGGTGACAATTTTGTCAGTGACGAACATGTGCAGATTTTATTAATAGCGAAATTAGATGCCTTGAGCAAAACAATTACATGGAGCCGTTAAAGTCAACAAGCATCCACGTCCTGAACTGCTTGGATAACAATAATGTGAATCAGAATGCACGAAATTAAACTTTTTGTTACCAGGTGAATCTTTGTCATTGACGAAAAAATGAATAAGGTTTTGACAAAGGTTGTTTTTTTTATTATGATCAAGTCTATCAGTGACTATTTGAATAACAATTTTGTCAATATCGCGTGAAAGTCTGTCAATAACAGTGATAAATCTCAGTACTGAGTGGAACCAAGTAGTTGCTATGACAATTAATCGCACATAGCTTAGAACTGAATAAAAGACGGAACAACTCTGTGTCCCTTAAAAAATGCCACAACCAAACGCCTGTTAATTGGGGATCAGACGGACCCTCCTACAATGCCTTCGATCCCTGGTCTAGCCGCGGGGACCATTGAAGGTGGGCTCTCAAGGCCTCTTTTGATTACTCCCGGCAAGCTCGAGCTTGAGGCACTTTTGCGCTCAGGGTCGGCTTTTATCAAGGGAATGTGCTTAACAAGAGTCCAGTCACCAGATAAAAAAACTACACAACGCAAACTAAAGTTAAACACATTTTTACTCTGACTTACAGCAATGGTATGTGTGTTTGTGGGTATGATGGGACGGCCGGCTGCTGCTGCAGAAGAGCGTAGTAGAACGTTGTAGGTTCGCGATCGGTTGTTGGTCATGCGGACCGAAAAGCACCTGATCGGCTGCGTTCGTTGATCTGCTGGCTGGATACGATGGCGTCGGTACCCCTGGCCTAACCTCTATGGACGGAGGCCACGTGGGCTGTGGGTCTATTCGTGAACCTGCGATCACAATGGACCTTTGGCTGGTCGAGGTTTGGGTTTGGCTACGCACCTCGCACGGGACTTTTATTCCAGGTCAGCTGTTTTAGCTAACCGGTAACGGAACGACTTCAACCGGAATACAATGGGTCCTGGTTCGACTTTCTCCAATTTAACAATATAAATTGAGATTATAGTCACTTTTCCACTTCACTGTGCACAACTGGTCTAGTTTCGAGATGTTTCTCACTTAAGGTGTTATTTGGAAAAAAAAAACATTCCATCACTAATAGGACCACCAGTAGCCTCTCCCTTTCAGATATATCATTTTTCATCGTAGTCCGTTGCCTCCTCCGTGGTAATGCATTTAGCTCTGCATCAGCTTTTCCCAAGGGTATCGGTTTTCGTGTATTGTAGTGTAACAAATTGTGTTCTTAGGTTATCAATTTGAATTTGTTTCTTGAGTGTGCATGCAATTAATTTAATCCTAGCTAGGCTTTTATTTATGAATTATTTAATATAGCTGCATATAATATTCAATATGTTAATAAATTGTATTGGTTAGGATGCATCATTTGATTGAAAAGTCTAAATATAAAAATCAGTTTGAGGAGAATTCCATTGGAGCTTCGATGGAAGCTTCAAGTTGAGTAGAATTTCAAAGTAACTCTGAAGGTCTATCCCAAGGATATGTCCTGAGAAGAATTCCAATGAAGTCTTTAATCAAATTAAAATATGATTCTGGGAACAATTCAAAGAAATATTGGATTCTCAAGGAATTTTGTGAAAAATTCCAAGGGAATCTTGGGGAAATTTAGCAACCTGTTACATGGTTTGGTTAGTTTTTATTCGTTAAGAGACGTATGCTAGTTCATTTATGAAATTACATGGTAGCTCCGAGGAGAATTTTAATGATACTTCCATTCCAATTCTGAGTAGTATTTCAAGGAACTTGAAATTCCAAAGGAATTTTTAATAAAATTTTATTGGCGGACAAAACATGAGGAATGTTTAGGAGAAGTCTAAGCAGACTGTGAAGAGAATTCCTGGTGAGTTTTAAGAAAGAATTCAAAGGAATTTAAAAAGCACTCCAAGGGAGTTCTTGTTAGGAAATATGAGAAGAATATCAAGGAAATACGAGAGGATTCCAAGGGAATTGAGTTCTGATGATAGAACCAAAGAAATTCTAATGGGAACCTCAATTGAATTCTTAGAAAACTTTTCAGGAAAGTTCGAGGAGCATTAAGAAACGGAGGAGAATTTAAAGGGAATTCATACGAAAGTTCCAACGAAAGTTTTGAAGAGTGTTTCAAGGAAATTACACAGAAATTAAACTAAGAACACATTGTTTAAGTTAATTTTAAGTATTCGCTATGTTTCAGGCGTCATACTAACGAGTTCAACAGTTTAGTTAAGTATACTTTTTTGTATTATAATCTCTTTAACACATTTTAACGTCGTTCGTGATTTTTCCGGAGATGAGATTTGAACTCGTGACCTTTAGAATGAGAGACATGGATACTTTTGTTTTTTTTTTTTTCAAACGGTAAAGGAATATACGCATATTTCCAGGCTCAGTTGAACTTTAATTGGCCACGTTTATTCCAATTTTGATTCCATTTGTTCAGTTACGGATACTGATTTGAAAATAACCGATCATGAGACCTTAGTGATTAATGTCTTAGACCATGTTAACGATAACGATAATTTTGTAAAATTAAAGTGCTGGAGGAAATATTCGAAGCAAGCTGTTTCGAATCTTGTTGAGAGGAGCGTGGATTTTTCATTCATGACCGGTAACTTAGATGAATCTACAGCTGTTCTTAA